TGCGCGGGCCCCCCTGCGCCGCCGCCGGGAGCAGCAGCGGGCGGGGCAGCGCGGCGTTCCTCGCGCGCCGGCGTCCCAGCGCAGGCGCCGCGGCCTGACGGCGAGGCCCTCGCCTTCCCGCACCGTGTGCGGCGCAGGGGCCAAAAGTGGTCTCGTGATCGCTGCTTCGCGTTCGCGGTCTCCGCCCAAGGTGCTGCGAGGCTCGAGCGGGGAGTGTGTGCATGGTTGCCGAGGCGGCGGCCCTCTGGGGCCTGGAGGGTGTCTTCGCCTGAGGCTTCCCTCGCTGCGTCTGGCTCCGATGAGGCGGGTGTTTCGGGGAACGTCTGTGGAAGCCGAGGCCCCTCCGAGGCCAGTGCGGCGGCTGGCCCTGCTCTGCTGAGGCCGCCGCCGACGAAGAGCCGCCGCCCCTGGCAACCGAGGGCCTCGAGCGGCCTCTGGCGCTTCAGCGGGTGCGGTTCAGGGCGGAGGAGGAGCACTGGGACACGGGCCTTGAGGAGGTGGCGGGCAGGCTGGCCAGAGCCGCTCGCCCCCGAGGCTCCGAGCCCGTGCCCCCCCCCAAACCCCCCTTGCCCCCCAGTCGCGTGCCAGGACGGCGGACGGCGGGGGACGTCATCGAGGACTGGTCCTCCGGTGGGCCGCGCCCGAAGGCCCCTCGGCTCCTGGCCCCGCCCCCCGCCGCTGGCCCCAGGGGGCCTGCTCCCCCTGGCGGCCAGTGTGGGCCTCCGCCCTGCGAGAGGACTCGGGCCTCTGGGGGTCCGCGGCGGAGGGGGAGTCCTGGGCCGCGCGTGATGCTGTCCTCCCTGAAGTCCCCCTCCCCGCTCAAGGCCCTGTAAGGCCTAGTAGCGTTCGGGGGCAATCATATCCGCCTTGCTGGAGCGCCCAGCCGACGGCCCCGCGCTCGCGGTTCCGGGGCCACTGCGAGGGCACTGCATCCAGTGAGGACTCCACTTATCTTAAGTCCCTCGAGGCGGGTAAGGACCCTCTCCGGGGGGAGTGAAGGGGGGACCACCGTCCACTTCTTTCTACGGACGATGCCTGCTTCTGGCTTCGTCTTAGGCAACACTTTTCCTCGTGTTATTTTCCGCTCCCGTCGAGTTGCGCGTGCTCGTCGTTTCCCTGCTCGTTCTCTGTCTGTGCTGCTGCTCTGCGCACTCGTTTCGGTCAGGTGGTCCCTCCTCCTGCTTGTCCTCCTCCTCCTCCTCCTCCTCCTCCTCCTCCTCCTCCTGTCCTCCTCCTCCTCCTCCTCCTCCTCCCTCCTCCTCCTCCTCCTCCTCCTCCTCCTCCTCCTCCTCCTCCTCCTCCTCCTCCTCCTCCTCCTCCTCCTCCTCCTCCTCCTCCTCCTCTGATGCCTCTGATGCCTTACCACAGTGGGTCTCATGAAACCCTACTGCGACCTGCGCCTTCGCAGGAACACGCCCAAGGTATTAAGAATTAAATAACCTCAGGGAGGAAGGGCGACCGAGCTTCAACGCATTAAAACTGGCGCCGAATTAACGGGAAGGGCAAGCCCCAGTATTTGTCCGACTGGGGCTCCCTTCCCGCTCTTAATTTATCCAAGGCCTTGCGACTCAGACGGTTCGGTGGCCTGCACGGGTCTTTCAGCAGCTTTTCAGCAGCTTTGTCTGACGCCTCGCGTACGCCCCGCACCGATTACAGAACACAAGAGCATCGATGCACCCATCGGCCTTGGGACAGCGGACGGCCCAGAGCCAATGGGAACAATGGGCCAGGGACGCGGGCCTCGGGACTCCAGCACAAGGAAAACTCAAAACCCTAGCCCTGGACGCCTTCCGAATTCCACACTTGAGACATCCCCAAACACGCCCGAGCCGTTCCAGGGAGTGCCCATTGTGAGGCCTCTCGAGCTCCAGCTGGGGACCCTGGGAGGGCTCCGGGCGTCCAGGGAGGGCCCCTCTGTCGGGCCAATCCAAATCTGCCAGCTTCTTCAACACCACACCGTGGTGCAGCATAAGCTCGGCCGCCGCTTCGTGGGCAGCCGCAAACCTGGCCTCACAGGCTTGAAGCTCTCCTTGGGGCCCTTGGGGGTGTAGTCGTGCGCCCAGCTTCGCAATGCGGTCGGCCTCCTTATTGCCTATGTGATGGCACCAGGAAGCCCCGTGCACCTCCGCCAGCCGCCACGACACATGAGCCTTCACCCACTTCATCTCGAAGTTGTCCAGACCCATGTCGTTCACATGGTGCCAGAACTCGCGCCACAGGTGGGCGTACTTCGACTCCGCCGAAACGCAGTACTGCTCACCCCGCCTGAAGTCGTCGACCACGACCTTACAGTCACTGACAATAAGTAGAGAGCCAACGCCCTTCTCACGGAGGACGCGCACCACAGCGTAAAGCTCGGCATGCCCAATTTCTTGACAATCACCAGGAACCGAACCATACATGCCGCCCTGGAGCCTGCCGTCATGAGTGACCGATACAGCCGACCAGCCACATCTCGTTAACCTTGGGCAGCGCGGGCACGTTGCAGACCCGTCCACGCAAACGATGCCCTCCCACAGCTCTCGCAGCCCCACTCCCGCTCTCAGGCAAGTCTCTTCCCGGGCAGGAGGTGGGGCCTCGTGCAATTTGAGGTCGATCAGGCCTCTGGTCATGCCCGCGTCGTCCACGTCGGCGAGCCTCCCCGCCTCGCGAACTCGTTCCAAGCCCCAGGAAGCCGCCAGCTGGCATGTGCCATCGCAGCAGAAGAGCCTGTGGTGCTGCGTGCCGACGGCGGCGTGGCACCACTGGCAAAGGGGGTCTACCTGGGATCGCTCCTGGTAGAGATCGTGCTGCGTCACGATGCCGCCCGCGACCAGCGACTCCACCAACGAGACCATCTCCTTGTCTCCGCGCCTCCTCAGCGAGCTAAGGCCGGCACGAAGTGGTTCCAAGTCGGGCGCGTGACCAGCTAGGCTCTCGAAGCCTGGGTGCTTTGCCACCTTCATCATCAGGGACCGGGTGGTCCCGCGCTCGATCACGGAGGCCACGAACTTTGGACTGACGTCCGTGAGCACCAGCACCTGGCCCTCGTCCGTGGCCCAGCGGTCCCAGCCCGAGAAGCTCCAGCCCAACCTCTCCAGAGTCTTGAACACGGCGCCAGTCGGGCCATTAGCGCCGGCCCAAGTGGAGGGGCCGCCCTTGCCGTGCACCGCCTTGAAGGCCGCTGGAGGGCGCAAACGCGTGTAGCACGCCTTGGCCCAGGCTACCAGAGGCAAGGCGTTGCTCGCGTAGGTGGGGTCCCGTCTCCACCCTCCGTCCTCCTGGATGGCGAACTGTACCGTCCTGGATCGCTTGCCCGCCTCGCCTGCCAGCGCCATGGCATTAGTCGTCCGAGCCTGCTGCAAGGCCCTGTCCGGAACTCCGCGCACGCGAGCTCCATGAAGCACGGAAGCCAGGCCTCCCGCACGAAAGACCTTGCCGAGCCTGGCGCCTGCTTCTTCAAGGCCATGAAGCGCGAGGCGCGGGAGCCGAGCTTCTGCAGTCGAGCTCGCAGGACGCCCCAGCTGCCAACTCTGCCCATGCCGAAGTCGACCCCGAGGTTCCGGACCGAGTGGTGCAGCTGGAAGCCCCATCTTTTGAGCTTCCTGGTGGCGCGCTGACCCGCGCCGAGGTTGCTGGAGATCACGTTCCCTTTGGTAAGGGAGATCTTGAAGCCGATCCTCTCCAGCTCGCCGCACAACGAGTCTGTGCCCCTGGTGATGGCTGGCTCGATGTCCCGAAGCCGCCCATGAGCAGCCAGCGTCACGTCGTCGACCACCACGTACAGCTTGACCGACCCCCAGCACCTCAGCAGGGCATCGAGCGGGCTCAGCAAGACCACGCGCAGCAGCGTGGTCGCGAAGCCGCAGCCGGCAACGATGGAGAGCCCCACCTTCATCGTCTCGGTCTTCCATCGCCCAACACACAGTCTGCGCTTGCCACCGTACACCGACAGCAGCAACTTGAGCCGTCGAAGAGGAAACCCGTGACGACGGCAAGCATCAACCAGACCACGGTGCGTGACCCTCTCATAGGCCTTGCTCAAGTCCAGCATTGAGGTGAGACTGTCAAGACCTAGGGCGCTGGCGTGCTCCGCGTCGAACGCCTGCGCCCAGACAGCATCTTCGCAAGACCGTCCAGCTCCACCATAGAAGAAGCTTCTGTTGTGATGTCTCTCCCAATCCTTAGCCTCATCATGCCGGAGGCGGCTGAGGAGCCGAACAAGACCGCACAGCAGGCCTATGGGGCGCCAGCCCCCGTCGGGCTTCGCCAGGAAGAAGATGAAGACCTCTCCGACCTGCGTCGGCATCCTCACCAGGAACTCCACCCAATGGAGTATGATGCAGAGCGCCTCCAGGCCGCCGCTGCTGAGGTGCCCGAAGGACGAGGGGTTGATGCTATCAATCCCCGTGGCGGTCATCTCCTTGAACTTCCCGGCGGCCTTGATGACGTCGCCGGGCGTCGGCGGGGGAGGGCAATCTTCCAGGAGGTCAGGTGGGAGGACCTCGTCGAGGTCCAGCGGCTGCTCGATCCCGTGGCGCCAGATGCCCTTGTACTCCTCAGCCAGAGCAGTCAGGGTGGCCCCGATGCCTGCTGGCCCTCCCTCGATCGACTCCACGTCGGGCGACCACCCGCGCGGCGCGCGGCAAAAGCCATGTGCCGCACCCCCGCTGTCTTTGACCGCGTCCTGGGCCCAGCTGCGCCATGCCCGAGCTTGCTCCTGGGCGAAACGAGCCTCAAACTTGGCCGCATTTCGTCGACACCTGGCCTCGATCCCGACAACTTCGGAATACATGGCCGTGCCGAGTCGTCGCAGGCGCCAGCGCATGACCCGCACCTCGTCGGGCCCCAGCTCCTCCTCGCCGAGGTCGTGTGCGACGAGCCTGCCGATTCGCCCCTGGAGCTCGGCGATGCGCTGACAAAGCCCCGGCCTACGTCCAGCGTGTCGAAGCCGCCGTCGAGCCTCGAGGACCTCCCATACCGTGGCCCCAATTCTGCGCCACCTCGCTGACAACGGGCACCCCTTGATGTAGGGCCCACCCGTGGCCGTCCGAACAAGCATCTTGCTGAACGAAGGCGGCTCGGCGCGCCCGAGGAAAGGCTCCTTCTTCTCCTCGATGTGGTACGCGCCCAGCAGGTCCAGCTCCATGAGCCTCACGAACTCGCCGTAGGCCGTGTCCAGACCCTGCTGCGCTGCGTCCGCCACGCAAGCTGCGGGAACCCCGGCCTCGCAAGCTGCGGGAACCTCCATGGCCACGCAAGCTGCGGGAACCTCATCGGCCACGCAAGCTGCGGGGTCCCCGCTGGCGGCAGCAGCAGAAATCGCCCTCTGGGCGTCGCGCGCCGAAAACGACCCCTTTTGACTGAAAAGGGTAGTTTTTCCCCTTGCTGATGCCGGTGTTGCTGAAGCTGCGGGAACCTCTCCGACCACGCGGGCTGCGGGGACCTCCTCGACCACGCGAGCTGTGGGAACCTCCACCGCGGCCGCGCACGCTGCTGGAGCCTCCTCGGCCACGCAAGCTGTGGGAACCTCCCCTGCCCCGGAAGCTGCGGGGAACTCCTCGGCCTCGCAAGCTGCGGGAACCTCCTCAACCACGCGAGCAGCCGGAATCTCCTCGGCCTCGCAGGCCGCGGGGACCTCCTCAGACCCCTGGGCGGGGTCGGCCGCGGAGGCGCGGCTGACCTCGCTGGCGCGGGCGTCCAGGGCCTTAAAGGCCTCGACGGATCGCCGGAGGACCCCCAGCAGCGGCTCCCAGTCGGGCGGCTGAGGGCGGGGCCCAACTGGCAGTCTCCCAGGGAACCCGCGGGCCCCCTGCATAACCAGCTGCTCCTCGTCGAATGGCTTGCCTCCGAGGCCCAGTCGCACCGCGTAGTGCGGGGCCAAGACACAATTGACCCTGTGGCACTGCTTGACCCTGCTAGCGAGGCCCGTGCTCACGACGAAATAGTCGATCTCCGAACCCTCGCCAATCCTGCACGTGTTCCGGCCGCAGCTGACGAGCATGCCGCCAATCTTCTGCAGCCAGCCCCAATCCTCCAAGGCCGCTGGGTCGCAGTTCCAGTCGCCCCCCAGCACGAACGGCACCTGGACGCTCTGCAGGTACTCGCCCAGCTGGCCCAAGATCAGCTTGCTCTCGGCGTCCAGCCCCGAGCCAGTGACGAGATAGATCGAGACGCAGAGCACCCCTCCGGGCACCATCGCGTTGATCCACTGGGCGCAGACCCGCTCCCTCGGGAGCTTGACCTGGGAGGGCGGCGGGGGGCCCATGCCAATGTGGCCCCTGCATCCAACCCCCACTCCGCAGGAGAGGCCGCCCTTCTCTGTGCGCAACGACTCGTGCAGAGCGACCTCCCAGCCTTCCTTCCGGCAGGCCTGCTCCGCCGCGGCGCGCTGGCCTGGGGCAACTCCGACCTCCTGCAAGAAGAGGATGTCGCCCTTCGCATCCGTGTTGAGCCACTTCATGAGGCTCCCACGGCTCGTGACGTTCGCCGTTGTCAGCGCCCACAGCCGTGGGCTGCGCTCAAAAGCTTGCGACGCCAGGCGCTGGCGCGCCCGCGGCAGCGCTGTCTGAGGCGGCTCCTGGGGCTGCTCTGCCGTCGCCACCTCGGAGCCGCTTGGGCAAAGGGATGCCCTGGGCTGTGAGGAACTCGGCCAACTGCTTGCTCTTGGTCTCGTCAAGACTGGCGATGGCGGCGCTGAGCTCTGAGCAGTCCATGTCGTCTCCGCCGTTGCCAGCGCCGCCTGCGGGAGGAGCACCACCAGGAGCATCACCACCAGGAGCCTCGAGATCCAAGACCTCATTGGCAGCTGTGGCCTTGGCCTCGATCCGCATTTTGCCCACGGCTGCGTAGCGCGAGAGCATCTCGACCGCACTGCCGAGGTCGACCGCTTCCTGGCCATCGAACTGGCCCTTGACCTCCGCCACGTACTGAGCGGCCAGGGCCGCCTGAGCCACCATCTGCTGCTCCTCCGAGATCTGCTCGGGAGCGGCAGGCGCCAGCCCAGCAGCCTCAGCCTGGCGCGCCCGCTGGAGCAGGGAATCCGCCTCTGTGTAGGCCTGCTGCGCCTTGGTGCAGTCGAGCTGGGCCGTGTTCCAGCGCTCCTGCGCTTCACGCAGCGCGTCGACTGCAGCGTCGGCCGCAGTGCGAGCCTTGTCCAGCTTCTGCTGCGCTTTGGACCGCCGCCACATAGCGGTCTGCACAACTGAGTAATGAGTCTTGGCCTTGGGTGCTTGCTCTCCAGCACCTTCAGCCTTCGGGGGGACGACCTTGGCCTTCTCGGCCTCGCCGATGCTGACACCGCGCTTCTCGAGCAGTGCGATGGCAGCCCGCAGGTCCTCCTCCTCGTCCTTGTCCGTAGCCTTCTCTGAGCCGGGAGCACCGGCCTTGGCCCCCGGAGCGTTGCCGCCCTTGGAGCCCTTCTTGCCCTTGCCCTTCTTGCTCTTCGTCTTATCACCAGTACCTCCAGTTTCCTCCGGGCCTGCAGCAGCCGCTAATGCCTTTTGGCGAATGGCCATTGGCGCATTCTTGCCACACTGACGGCAGGACAGCCGGCTGGCCCAGTTGCTTGCCTCCCCGCAGCTGCAACCCCACAGCGGGGTGCGCGGGCCTGGCAGCACCGTCCCGAGCGAACTCGCTGGCGGCCGCCAGGGCGGAGGAGACAAGCCCCACCACGGCGACCAAGCCTCGCCGTGCGCGGAACCGCGAGGAGGAGGAGGCTTGCCATCGCGGCGGGTGCCCATAGAGAGTCGTTCCTGAACAGGCTCCTGCTGACGGAGCCGTTCTGAATCACGTCAGCAGAAGCTCCCTCGCCCGCAGGCTTAGGAGCCAGAACGGCTCTCCTCCTCCTCCTCCGCCTCCTCCTCCTCCTCCTCCTCCTCCTCCTCCTCCTCCTCCGCAAGCTGCTACCATCTGTGACTGGCCCCCCGTGGCGTTGAGCCCCCTCAGCTGCAAACCGACGGGGCGGCGGAGGAACGGCCGTCCCATCGCACACCCGGCCCCTGCGCACGCGCGAGCAGGACCCGGGCTGGATCCGAGGGCCCCCTCGCGAGGACTCCGGGGCCCAGCCCGACGCGCAGGTCTTCGAGAGCGTTCCGACCTGGATCTCGAGGCAAACCCAGCCGCGGCGACGAGGAGTGTGAGGCGCACGCTAGCACGGATTAAGAATCCGTGGGTCTGGCGCGTGGGCGCTAGATCCACGGATCGCGGACCGTAGCCCTCGTAACATGGCCCCAATGTCGCCTGATCTTGTGACGGAGCGCGCTGACTTGATATGGAAACGGAACCCGTCGCTACGGTGATAGGCTATAGAAGTACCCCTAACCCATTGAGAAGAGACCTACGTAAGGTAGAAGGGCCAGAGGCAAAATGGATAAGCAGCCTTTTCGCAAGTTGAGCAGACGGAACCATCCATATGTTTAGGGACATCCCCGAAAACTGTTGACCTACGTTAGGTCACGAATCCATTGTGTTATCAAGGTCAGGGATGGTATGATGCTTGATATGATTACTTCCGGGGGCGCGCAAACATGGATTAGCGATCCATGGATTTGGCGCGCAGTCGCCAAATCCATGGATCGGGGGCGGTGCCCTCCCCAAAATGCGGCCAGTGCCGCCTCGTTCGGCGGCGGAAATCCGCGATTTCCCATGGAAACGGCACCCGTCGCCAATCCACGCCGCCTTGATCCATGTTTGCGATCACCTGACCTCTCGAGTGGGCAGCGGCAGCGGCATCACCCCCTCCTCTGAGCCCAGATCCACGGCTCCCCCTGGCCCCTGCACCGGCGTCGGACACCTTAACATCGCCGCAGAAATTCCGAACTCGCGCAATATGTCGCCCGCGCACTCTGGGACGCCGAGATTCGGGACAGAGACGCAAATCAGGGCCGGCGCACGGGCGACGCTCGGGCGACGCACTGAAGGAAACTTAAGGAGGGGGGGGTCGCATGACTGGGCCTATTACCACTGGCCGGCCAGGCCCACAGACCTCCAAAGGCCAGCCCTCCAGGGCCTCCCCGGTGACCAGCGCGGCGCCCAGGGCGCCGGCCCCCCGCGGGCTGGCGCCGGAGACAGGACTCGCGGGGCAAGTCGTGGAGGCC